CCACTCCAGATAACGCACGACTTGTTTCCGAAAAGCTGGGGAACAGACAGAGCACACAAATGGCGCCATATACTTTTCCAATAGTGTGCAATGTTGTTTCGTAACATGCATTCCATTGAGGGAACGATCAAAAAGTAAAGCGGTGATGACAGACACCAAATTAAACTTGTTATCGTTAGTGTCGAAGGGTGAGATGAACCAAAGGGATAGTCATCCTCTGCAAAAAATAGGATGCGCAAATCATGAAAAATTGTGGTTTAAGTGTTATGCTTATGTAACTGATTGAGGTTCAGACGTATGGACTGGCTGGAAGGTAAAAAACAAAATTTGTGCACGTTCTTTTTGAAACATGAGTTTAACGTATTCCACCAGCAGGTCGTGAACAAAAATTATTATCAGTGGGGTAAAAATACGTTTATTGGTTTCAGGCAGCAAAGTAAAAATTGAAAACAACCTCAGAATGTTGTGACAATCGGAAATGGGTGAGGCTACATTCTGGCTTAATCGAAGTTTCAAAAAGCTATCGAAAAACTGGGGTGAACTTGAAGATAGATTTTCGAATCAGGTTCCAAAATCACGAGCCCATGTTGAATGTGACTACCGAAAGATGTTCAGAACACCTTAGTCTTATAGTCTGGGTGCGTTTAAATGCAGCACTCACAAACGAAGCACTACTGACCCACATGTTAAGTAAAATTAGGGTTGTCATCGAATGTTAGCATTTTTCTCGACAAAAATTCTCTAAGCATTTTTGTGCTAGCGCTCTCTCAAGATTAGCGTCGTGGCAAGTATAAAAGTGCTCTGTTACTGTCATCCAAGCTGGCCGCTCAGGTTTTGCACAATGAACTTGATTTCTCGAAAGCTACGACATTTCCAGGGTTACCAATTCATAATGTAGAATGTCCACATATGCATATGTATATGTATTATGCAAATTATTATAAACATCACCGACTGTAAATACGGTGCCTAATGTAACAAGAAATTGTGAATTGCAGAAAAAAGAGGCTCTCAGTGGACGGAACTTTCCAAGCTGGCGCTCAGGTTTTGCACAATGAACTTGATTTCTCGAAAGCTACGACATTTCCAGGGTTACCAATTCATAATGTAGAATGTCCACATATGCATATGTATATGTATTATGCAAATTATTATAAACATCACCGACTGTAAATACGGTGCCTAATGTAACAAGAAATTGTGAATTGCAGAAAAAAGAGGCTCTCAGTGGACGGAACTTCCAGAGAGTTTTCCAACTGAGATAATCCCCTGAACGCTATAGGATCAACATGGTTCTTGCGGATGAAAAATAGGCGGAGGTGCCATTCCTGTTTTTCACTTTTTCTCGATAATTGCTGTTACCAGTTACAATTGTGAAAGCCGCATGTGATAATGGAGAAGAATCATTCACGTTTTGTTACCCAGTGGGTTATTTCATTGTGGCTCGCGAACTATGCGAGGAAGACCATGACGTTGATCAGTTAGCCACATGAAACCTACGCACATGACTGACATGTGGTTGGGGGTCTGCGATGACTGCTCGGCGGACCAGAGTGTGCCCGCCCATCTCCGCCAGGGAATGTGCATAACGAAATTCTGAACTGGATACCGCGAATCCATCATTTCCTTGAATGACGCGAACGGTCTACACATTGGAGCCAACTGTTCGCTCTCCACGAACGCTCGGGTCCAATGCCGTCCGTTAGCAGAAAGGTATATAGCTTGTGTCTAAAGGCTAATTATTAGGTGCTTAAAAACAACTTGCCCAAAACTGTTTGTTGCATGCGTTCCCTCTACGTTTACAACACCTGCAAAGCGTCGGAGAAATGCTATCTGGTGCCATCAGGCGGAGCATATGCGGTGTTCCATATTTCAGAATTGGCATGCAGGTGCTCAACTCGTCTCCGGTTAGCCATCGATTACCCGAAAGACCCTGTTACAAAAACGCTGGCAACTTATGTTTGTGTTAAAGCAAATAGCTATCTAAATGCTGTAGGGAATAAAAGGCCCCGAAATTCTCAACAAATCCGTATGCAGCTGCTACCAAAGCTATAGCACAGCAAGTTCGAAGTCAACTTTGTGCCAAAAATTTCGAAAGGAGATTGAGTTAAACAAGTCACAAAAAATGGCGACAGACGAGGTTCTGAGCACATGCAAAAATGCAACATTTAACGAACAAAGTTTTGCTCTACTTGCAAAGGTTTTGCATAGAAAATCATTGTGCGTGCAAGGCGCAGTCCTAACCTGAGGAACTCAAAAATTCAACGACTCAGGGACCACACGGAACGCTACTGATACTAGGTTATCGGTGACGTTGACGTCCCGTCTCCTAACTTGAACATCAGATCTGAGAGCAGAACACTGTGGAGCCCATAAAACTTTCCTCTGAAACAGTCAGATGTTTGTGGAAGGCGCAACAGATCGAGAAAACTTTACAAATGGTCAAAAGCCGGAAAAAGTTTCGTTTTCCTATTTTATTCACGGAGTGCTCCAGCGACTCCTCGAAATGAATTATCCGACTCCTGTTTACCAGTAATGGTCCATAAATTTCTGTCCTTTTTGATGCAACAAACATATGACCCGCAACCAGTGTATAGCAAACGCACCTTCCACAATTTTTGAACCTGCCAAATGCCGTGGTCAGTTAACCTTTTTCTGCAAAGCATCACAACTCTCTGCCGGAAGTGTAGTGTCCAGTAATACCATACGTGAAACATGTTTCTAGAAACGGACGGCCATGGCCAAAACTAAATAAGATGGTTAAATCACAACTTCACCGGTAGCTTATTGCGGGGAAAGGAGCGTGGACAATTTGCCGCCTCACCCGGGTGGAGGCGGTTTCCGGTTGCGTAAACTATAGCAAATGAGTGCAAAAAAACAATATCTGCGCGGCAATTTTAACGTCGCGCATACAATAAACCGAGGTTATCGTACAGATAAAACCGTCGTATATTTTAACGGGTAAGAATAAGACTTGATGAAGATTGCGATTGCAGTGGAATGCGGGGATGGCAGTCAAAGGACCACAGTTATAACTGTATTCCTTATCTTGCTTCTGTCATGGGACCAAAACATTCATACTCCGCCTCTACAAGCCCGCTGAATGCCCTTGTACGCGGTGAAAAAGGGTGATGTTCTCTTAACGACTTGACAGATACAAAACCTCCGGCATGAATGGTGTGCACCAAGATATTTCATATCGTCTTGCGTCGGTATTTTGAGCAGCCCGGCCGAGTTTTTCACAATTTATTTACTTTTGCGCTTAGCATCCGCAAAATGAAGAGGCCACTAGTAAATCGTGTCAAAGGGCGATGATGATCAGTAAACTTTAAGCCACAGATCAGTTGACAAACGCGTGGAGAAGTCATCAATGCGTGTACTTTCAGACCACTTGAAGCTCAATCAAGATCACATTTATTCTCAGCATGGAGTCCTTATTGTGCCTCCTGTTTAATAGATGTGTTGACGGTCTGCGGGGAACGGACAAGCTTGCCGCACGAAGGCCATAATGTTGATGCAAGCGCCGCCGATTAAAACAAGCCGATGGAAGTAATGCATCCCAAGTACTTGTTTTTATTATTTCATGCGTACGAGTTTTTTTACTTGGAGTGTTAGCTTGAGCAGTGGGATCCTTGGGAGACTCACCATGCTAACTGGATCGACTGATAACCATATTTGTGTTAAAAAGTGGCCCTCAAATATGATGTCATTCTGCATAGTGCTTTTCAATCCCTCAATCAAAAGGATAATATAGCCAGCTAGCTTACTCTTCTTTGATGACTCCAAAAGATGGCGACGCGTCGTTGCCCCTGTAGAGACCGTCTGACTCCGATAGTTTCTGGATATTGTCAGGGAGCGCCTTTACCGATTCTGCCCACCGATTAGCGACGATTGCCTTAGTGCAACCCACGGGCTCACGTACACACATTTTGGGGGGAATCCAAGCGCAACAAAAACTGCAGCGGCCAACACTCTGGCCTATACTCATGGAAACCTCAAAATTCTGATTGAAACACGGGCATGAGCGCAAACATTTGTTGTAGCGTACCGTAACCATATAGGTCGGACTACTGTTACGGTTCAGTGCTTCATCTCGACATTCACACGGTCACTCCGAAAAATGAGCGTTACTGTCCCATACTGCGCCCCAGACAGAAACGTTTTACTTGAGCTTACGCAGAAGCTGGTTACCACGGTTGTACCATAATTTGGCAACCTCTGCTACATCAGCACATGCTGGGGACAGGAAGCATGTAGACATGAATTTCCTCTACAAGAATTGTCTTCGGGCTTCATTGTGGGCTGCTTTTTTCAATGCGGAGGATATCCATTCAGACTAGGAAAACCTCATTTTTATGCTCACCGTGCGTCCAAAGCTTTATTATGCTTGCTGGATTCACGCTGACTATTTCCATACCAACAGTCGTCGATTCAGCTTATGAGAAACTGCTTTTAGATCAGCAGAGTGCCATAAAGTTGTCGGATCTGTAGGGAGCACGTGAAGTATATGACCCTTCTTTTGTGTTTTTCAGGGGTTTTAAAACTATGGAACGGATCATCAGAGAACGTGACCATGCTTACAAAAGACCTGGATGAATATGTACGGTACCTGCTGCACTAGCCCACGCATGGGGCTTCTGACGATTGTATTCCGGGCCCAACCTATCTCGGACAATAACTCAAGCGAGAAAAAATACAAGGTCAGAACAGCCAAAGTCCAGGCCCTCTACTTATCTCACCAGACTGGGTCTGAACCTAGACCGAGAGCAATATAGACTGAAGAAATGGGAAGGAATTGGGAAAAATCATTCTCGCGCAAAGTCAAAATATAGCATACAGAATACTACAGTTAATACCGTGAACAGATTTTCAGATCCAACATGTTCAAGCAGATTCTGGATATTTGTGTTATTCGTGATGCCAAGTTTCTTACGCAAACTGGACGCTGATTTCCGAATGCTGGATGTCAAGGTTATCGTCGACCGTCATTTTGAAAACTGATGACTTATCACGAAAACGTGTACGGAACAGGAAGTGGGTACAGTTGCATTGAGTTCGCTTCGTTACTAACGCGTAATAAGAATGGCGAGCTTGGATTAGCTATTTCTAGTGTAAGAAATTTGGACGGATCAACAGGAGTTATTGTCTCAGAAATTTTGGATGAGGCGACGTCAACTAATCAACTGAAGTAAGCATCTTAAAGAAACTAAAGCAGTGCACAGTGTTGGCGACCAAATAACATCCGTCAATGGCATGCCTCTGAGAAACAAACCTTACAGACTCTGTGTTCAGATGCTTCGGGAATCTGGAAATGTTATACACCTAATTGTCCATAGGTGCAATGTTGCTGTGTCCTACAAGTAAGTAAATGGCTCAATGGAACGTGTAAGCACCTTTCTTTGTTACTCCAAGTTAGTCTCACGAAAGAAATTGCTTAGATACTATATAGTAGATATTATATAATATCTCATTTTAATTTGCACTGTTTCAGTATCCGATTGGGAGATACTGGGTTTTCAGAAAACCAGATAAATTGTAAGGCAGGCTTTTCCGCGTTTCACAGTGTGGAGCAATTTGAAGCCAGATGTCTTTGTCTTTCTGTTATGTCACCGGTGTCCAAGTGCGGCAACCAAAAAAAAAGTAGTGCATCTTTTTTGGGCGTTTTTTCAAACAGTTTTCCAGAACCATCACAGCCGGATGAAGCCAACCGTTGCAGCCCCAAATTAGCTGTGGCATGTGGAGCGGCTAACTGGTGGCATTCCAGAATACTCGATCCCTACGCCTAACCTCAGAGCATCTGAATTATAACCGAACGCCGTATCTAATTACCAACCCCGTCATGCTTACAAAAACATGCCGTATGATTAGTGGATAACGGGATAGGCGTAAAAGCATAAACGTATTATTATTGACGTAATAATATAACTGGTTGTTGCTGATCCGACTCAAGCTTTTGGTTTCCTAGAAGGTAAACCATACGCTTCCTTGAGCTAAGACAATTGCCCTCGATATAAAATCCGCTGTGACATTTGAGTGTGTAGCCATAGAGTACTCAGCATCTAAAGCGGCAAGCGTCAGTATACAACATTTATCTAACTCTTTATTAGACCTGATAAATCTGTATATGAGATAGATCTTTTATCTTCACTTTTTGAAGAAGTCAGTTGGTCTGTGAATAAGGGGCGAAAAGAGCACTGAGCGTGTTTTCCACTGACAGACACAGGTCAGGGAAGCTCAGTTTCAAAGGAAAAGCAACCCTTAAGAATAAGGTGATGGCCGGGAGTGAAGACGCTCATTTATTGTTCTTTGAATTCCTCATCGAATTATATAAGAAAGAAAGCCTCCCGATATTACATATTGAACATTATGTTGATATGTTCCAAGTTACTGTTCTGTTTTCGTTGCGTAAATGCAACCAAGATGACGGATTTCTACACATATTTCAGCCGTACATTCAACTTTTTCCAACGGCTCGACAAGTCTAACATTCAACCAAGCCGTAAAAGCGTGTCAATAGCTCACTTCTGGAAAGCTCGTCACGCAATTCACCTAAGGATGAATGGATGAATAGAAATGAAGCATTTATCGAAACGTAGTCAAAATGCGTGGGATATTTTGGATGAGGGATCCGGCACAGACAATCTAGTGAAACTGTGTGCCTCCTCATCAGAGCCACCGGTTTGTTCGGTTGTCCTTGGGCGTGGCAGCTGCGTCTTAGGCGATCGATGACCACAAATCAAGCTACATGCAAAAAAGCCTTTAAAAATTAAAGACACCAACTCACTCATCAGGTGAAGAAAACGTTCGTGTGGGGTTCAGGTGAGCAAAATAATTGAAGTTCTTTGGAATAATCGTCTTGCATAATCCACCACTAGTGAATGAGTTTTTGGGATTAGGTTTTCTGAAAGACTGGCTGAGACTGAATGTCTGCACATATACAGTGGTCTACTTCAATGGCCTTCGGGAGTTACCTATACATTTCAAGAAAGACTCCGTTCTGAGAATTGATCATTGTAAGGACAACAGCAACGAACAAGCCGCCGTTATCTCCATAGACTTTGAATGTAATTTTGTAAGAGCACTGATCCTTTGAAAAATCCCTAAAAAATACCGGATAATTTACATGTCATTGAAAGTATATCATAAGGCCCTTTTTAGACGGTTTACTGAAGTCCAAAAAAACATAAAGGCAAAACATCTGTCATCACTAGGGACAGTTTTCCGTTATTCTACTGCGACCAAGGGACTGATGATGTGAGACAGAATCATTCGCTGTTCTGGAGCTAAGACGTAACCTTTTTTTACATGGCGCTGTAGGTCAGGCCTCATAATTCCTTTATGTTATTTCATATTTTTCTTGTCCACCAATAGGATGTAGCTTAAGAGGACAAAACTTTGCGCCGTCATTTTCTCAAAAAGTGCCGTCTGTAGTTCTATAAATGGCAATCTTCCCGAATGAACATCGTGAAGTTAGAACTAGCCACGTTTTTAATAAAAGCACTTCAAGGTGTTTTCGATCCGGAAATGTTGTACATGGTGCTGCAAATCAGATAACCAGAAATGAGGCATTATTTTGAGAACTGTGGGACTGTTCCGGTAGCCCGCGGAAAAAGTGATATGTTGACACACTCAGCCCTAAAAACGTGTCGAAAAGCTGGTTGCTAAAAAGTGCATGATATATTTTGCCACGGTGAATACTTTAGCCTGATATTGGTGTTAAATTATCTGGAAAACAAATGTTTCTGCTCATTGTTTCCTATCGCCTCGCCCAGTGCTGCAAAGTTACGTTGAAAGTCTGTCTTTTAGGAAATTTGTGGTTAGTAAAATAACCGGATAAGAGAACCGGAAGCTGTACGGACGAGAAAAATATATGTTTTGTAAGGACACACTATATGTACTAACTGTAAACGACACCATTAAAAGATACACAGCTGATGAGCGCACAGGAAGTTTCAAGGCCCCATATGTTTACACCGTTCTCATCAACAAAAGTGAGAAAAAGTCAGCTAGACTGTAGTGCTAAACAGTATCTATGAGTTATCGGAAACACAGCCAGCAACCGGTTTACGGAGGTGAAGATTGACTTTAATATCGTATACAAATGCATAAATCGTTGAATTGCGAGAACCTAATCGCTGAGGAAAAGAGAGATTTAAGGTAAACCGCTGTTCACATTAGAATGTAGGACTTTGTGGCTCACTATACAAGCACTGCACCTCGATAAGTTAAACCGGTGTTATGCAGTCTAGTGCTTACTAAGTGCATCAAATCCAAAGGCAATCACGAATCGTGCAAAACAGTTGAACGCTCAAGTGCAAATAGGCAAAACAGAAACACCGGAGCCCTGTCTGATTTAAATACTCTCAGGAACAAAAGAACAGCAGGATTCGAAGCATAAAATCGTTTGATGGATGGTGTACTGTTTGACATTCAATTGAATTATGTCAAAGTGGCGCTCAAGAAAAATAGAGTGTGGATGTGAAATATTTTCATAGGTTTATTTAGTTTGCCATTTGATATTGTAGTCTTGATTGTTTTGAAAACTGAACAATGTATCAGAACAAAGCTCTAATACACGCCCATATATGTACCGTGCACAACTATACAAAATACCAGGCTACTGAATGCACGCGCGAAGTTGGAATTTGCCTCCGGCCTCAAAAAATAAACCATTCAGATAAAAGATAGTTTTTGCCTCATAGAACGGATGGTGGTCAACTTCCAAAGTAACACCTTGACAGATCTGTCACACTAGTAGCGTTATTTTGCATGAATTGAAAGACATCTGAATTCGTCAGCAGGTACGTCTCGGTCTGTAGTATTTATGATCGTTTGCAGCGAAAGTTTTTTTGGTTAGCCTATTAGACATTCTTCGTTGAACTTGATAAAACATCAGACTAACCCCAGGAATATTAAGTATGTGCCTTCATTACCGTTATTATTATAGATAAAATAGTCTCGTAGTCATTAGTAGCGGTCAACTGGCGCACAACCATGAAGATGGAGAGGAGAGGGAAGTGTGAAAATTAGGTAAAGTTTGCCCTATGTACATATGAAAAAAGATTAAGAACAAGACCTTTACAGCAAGGAATTAAAAATATCTATGCATCATATCAAGGTAATAAGCAACCAATTGGATTGTAATAGGTCGCTAGCGAATCTCAGCAAACGCAGGCAAAGCAAACAACGACAGGGAAGTTTCCACCTGGCTGTGAAAAATGGAATTGACAGCATACATTTGTATGGTTTACATGACATGTCCTCTAAGATTTTTAGGCATGAACAGAAATAATCACACAAACTTCAATAAGGAGGGTACGAGGACCAAGTGGCACTAAGTTTGACAATATTCACGCTCCTTCAAAAGTACAAAGTCACAGCCTATCTTTCGGGAGCCTTTCGCTAGCAACGATATGGAGTGAAAAACAGAACTTTGGTCATTTTCTGTTGGAAGGAACGGGAATATCTTCTCTGACAGAGCCAGCCGCGTATGGTATTTTATCCAAAGGTTTGTTATTAAAAGCGGTTTTTTGTGCTTTTTTCTAGTCAGCTTTGTACAGCTTTCGGTTAAGGAAAGGTGACCGTCGATCTCGTGGACTCAGCCGATCATTCATTCTTCTGAGCTCACTCGCCCTAACAGGTTGTTGGACATTCAACACAGATTCGGGGGGCACCTAAGTATCATTTTCTCTTGGTTTTTGAGTGCATTGTTCATTAAATTCAAGCTGCTTACCGGCTTGTAGCCAATAGTTCTTTTCTTAGTTCATCACTCTGCTACTCCTAAAGGCTGGGCAACACCTGCAGAGTGGGGGCAGATAGTTACATCTTTGCCAGCCTTGAGGCGTGAGCGTTAAAAATACGGCGTTAAACAAGCAGGATACGATGCAGAATCAATACATGTAGATAATTGGTTTTGAGCGGCACAGTCATCTAGGGAGGCAAAGGATAACGCAAAATGGAACAAATTTTGTGAACGTGTAAACATGCACAAGCTGTCAGTTTTACGACAACAGCAAAGCGAACCGTAAAATGGTATCTAATTGTAAACGATATTCAAGCGCTTCATTTAGAAGGAAATGTGTTTTATTGCAGATCGAACCAATGTACTGAGGACAACCAGAAACAAAAGCTAGGTGGGACAAAGCCTTCAGGGATGGAGTCAATCTAAAGCAACAACGTATGCAATAC